TGAGTTTTCTTAAGCTGTATGCCATAATCAGCAATATTAAAATAATAAAAGGCTTGCAATATTTCAGTTGATTTGTAATGAATCCAGAATGTATGACATTTTTGTTTTTTTAAATTGCATTACAGAAAATAAAGAACTTTATCACAATATTCTAATTTTCTGAGACAGTCCTGTATATGATAAATGAGGAAACATTTTATTTATGGTATTATTTCCACATATTTCTCTCCATTCTTCCTTCTGCCAACGGTGTTGCAGTTTCCCGTCCCTCTCGTTTTTGTGCTTAGTGCGTACGCATGGGTCAGAGTTTGCGTGGAGGACCGCACGTTTTCCCGTCAAGTTAGTTTTTTTATAAATCGCAAACATTGCGTAGAAACTGGCGAACGCCATCTTTTGAGCATACGCAACGTTTATAAATGAGGCCCCAGGCCTTTTTGGCTTCATGAGCTACTGACCAACTTTTAAAAGGAGTGAACAGGGTCCCGCCTCTAACCCAAACACAGGAACTTACTCAACCCTGGCAATGAGGAAGCACCTTGGGGCATGTTCAAACCTGCTTAACACATTTTTTGTTTTAGGTCATGAGGTTCATTTCAAATGGTGTTGTGTGTTAGGAAGGTGTTGCTCTTCTTGTGTGTTGAAAAAGCCACTACTAGTCAGAGAAGCAATCTAAATTAAAAATAGATTAGCTGGCTCACAGATGACTGCTCACTTTGTAGTGACACATGTTGGCAAAAATCATGCCCCCTTCATTACATTTGAATGTTGCTTTGCTTATCGTTCTTGCACACACTGATGGAAATTGGTCAAATAAACATTTTTATTACAAAACGTATCTCTTTGACATGCAATTGCTTTTTTTGGAGGGTAACATTAAGGGTAGCATTTCAGAGTAGATTATTTTTTAGTTTTGTGTAAAAAAGTGATGTTTCATAGGAGAATTTAATCAATTTGCAAGAAATAAACCAACTTGGATTCATGGGCTTGAGGTTCTGGGTCATTTATAAAAAAAAGAACTAAATCTGGTATCAGTTACAGTTTGCTTTTAAGACAATATGCAGATGATCACTGAGAGGACCCCCCCCTATTCATCGCAGCGCTCCTGATGAACTCACCGATATGAATGTAGCCATCCTTGTAGAGTCTGTTGATGATCAGGGTGAGGATGAGGCCAATGTTGCGGGAGTTGTAATAAGTTAAGTAGATGATCCATCCACAGGACAGAATGGTGGCTGAGAGACACAAATACAACACAGTCAGGTGTGTTAATACAGAATAACACAAACAAATACGTAAAGCTACATTTTTACTTTTTATGTTGTCGGCTGCTTGGACTTGTTTGTTCAATTTAATTGATGTTTGAAACCCAACTGTAAAATATTATTCTCAAATATGATCACTAATACTGGTTTCGCTTTTTGTCAAACAAGGGCTCAGAATAAAAGTGAATGTTATGGCGATATGAACTTCTGCAATATTCAAATCGAATAAAGCTTCATATTTGGTAGATAAAAATCGTGTATTATCAAAATATTTGCAGTACTTCAAATCATGTAGACTCACGTCAAACTGTTTAATTATACATGTGAATGACATTTTGGATGAGAAGTCAACAAACCGTGATTGGTCCATTGCATACAATGTGCCAGATGCTACTTGATAAAGATCCATTAGCAAGGAGAAAGGACTGCAGCATTACAAATTCCATCCAAAAATGTATTATAATATTTTATTTTTGAAGAACTGAGCATTGGAGGGATGTTTTTTTTGTCGGCGGACCCAGAAGTTTAGTCTCCCTTTACAAAAAGCCAATGGGATTTTTCTATTGGATTTGGTAATGTTGCAGAAAATAAGATCTATGACAACACTTGTGATTCTTATGTGTGGGAGGCGTGTGGTGCAGTGGGTTGTGCGTTGGTGTTGGGATCAGGCGGTCACAGGTTCAAACCCCACTGCAGTCAGCATGTCATTGTTTCCCTGGGCAAGACACTTCACCTCAAATTGCTCCTGTGGGGATTGAGTATGTAAGTCGTTTTGGATAAAAACGTCTAACATGTGTTGTAATTCTTACACATTTTGTTCAGCAGGATAATCTACAGATATTAACACCACTTTTATGATTTTTTAAGCATTAATGCATTCAGCAGAGGTTAAAAGTTAATATTAAGTTATAGGTTTTAATCACAAATAGAAGCGTCAAACCTTCACCAGCTGGTTATTTATTGACACATCTTATGTCATAGAACAAAACATGAACATCTCTTAAGCTTGTGTTTACCACACATCGTATTTCAGCCCTTTAAAAAAAAAAAATATTCCCAAAAAACGAGGAAAAAAGTGGTAAAATGCTTATTCTTTGGAGTTTGAGGACTCTTTGCCGCACCACTCTGTATAGCAATGCACAAATACATGTTATAAACCTCCTAGTCTTTCATATCTGGGCTGACAGTGGGGTTATACCTACGCTTTTTCATATTGGATTTCATGCATGAAGATGTTGCTCAATATCTTAATTCTACCGAGAGCTGAGCATGAATGGAACAATATCATTTGTCACACTCACACTTTCTTTGAATTCAATCTCAATCAAACAATAACAGAGTTGGAAGGATTCATTAATTCAAAGCCAATATTCATTAAAATCTTTCATAAAAATTTGGTTTTCAAAACACATGAGGAAATATCCGAGGCTTTTATAATACTTTATTCTGTGCGTGCGGCTTAAAGCGAATCCTTTCTTACGACACCGCATTGCGGAATGGTCCAACTCATTTGCCAAATGAGCCAATCGTATAATGAATATTGAATGATATCTTTATCAATAAGTACTAAACTCTAAAAAGGTAAATATGTCTTTGTAGAAAACACTCATATATCATGGACTTAGTTCACCATCAGCAGCCACACCCTCTTCATTTGCAATTCAACATTAACATGTGATTATTACTAAGAAACCACTGCTGTATAAACTGCTATAATACAATTATTATGTTATATCAATTATATATTATTGCAGAACAATGTCCACATTTCATTCAGCTTTATTTGATCTTTTATTGGACATTCTACAATTAACTTTTTATTTCTATAAAATATTTTATTTATTTTTGCTGGTCATGTTCAGTAAGTTTTTTTCCTTTTAACTTTTTACTGCTTCTAACTTTGACTTCCCATGTTTATATAAATACATATTTATTTTATTTAACTTTTATGTATTTCACTCTGAAATGGAGCAGAGGTGACAAAACGCAGTTGAATAGAGTATTTTGATTCTAGTATAAAAGGAGAGGGACTGAAATATTATTATTATATTTGTACCAAAAAGTATCAGACATGTATGGTGTAAAAAATAAGGTATTTTCATTGTAGTTACCGCGTTCCACAGCAGTTTAGACCAAAGAAAGTGATTGCACATCTTGTAGGAAATGGCTAAGCCACTAAAAAGGCAACTTGATCCGGTTCTGACAGGTCTGCACTTTAAATGTGACACTGAACTTCTGAAATACCCATTGATGTTAATATATTCCCACGCTGCAGAGCACTCACCGACGAGGAGCCAGATGAAGTTGGAGTCGTGCTTGGTGAGAAAGTCATCCAGGTCCACGAGGCTGGGGAAAGTGCTTTCATTGTTTTTGGCCACATGCCCATCCATGGCTACAGGCTCTCAATGGGATACCTAAAACTAAACACATAAACATATCCATTACTTCCATGGCACAGCAACAGGGAGAAATGAAAGCCAGAAAGACACAGGTTTATCATAAATTGGAGCCTATTTTCTTTACTAAAACTGTGGAAGATAGGCTTGTAAAGCAAACAGATACAAAGTATAATGCATAAATGTAACAACATTTAAAATGATTGAATTATAAAATGGGCTTATACTATAACAGATCATTCAAAAATCTATTATTTTTGTGTAAATGATATAAGCTACATTCCGTGAACATGATTTACAAAAACATTCAAATAAACACAAATATTTTCTATTTGAACCAAATGGACCAATCCGTCGAGCCGTTACGTTGAGTCCGCGGATTGGTCCTTCCTCACACACACACACACTCAATCTTTTCTCAGCTGCAGCTCCGCCGATTTCTCCTCTCTGAGACGGCGGGACGCGGCGAGGCTGTGACTCGGTGTGTGAGCACACACAAACTCCCAGCCAGGCTGCGGGTGTGTGTGAGTGTTCGGGCTGGGTTTCGCTGTGTCTCGCTGCCTCGCAGACGGCCACTAGGGGGGGGGGGGGGCAGGAGCCCCAACAAGCCGTTTTGGTGTCTACATGATGAGGCTGAGGTTTATGCAAACGCTGTTCAATATGTAACTACGTTCATAAAGATTGGGTGGATCCGTTTTCCAAATGGTAATTGTCTAAGGGAGAAATAGTCAAAGACGATTTAGATCAGTGGTTCCCAACCTTTTTTCCCAAGAGCTCCCCCAAATGACTCCTGTTGGAAGTTGCGCGCCGCCCCCCCCCACACCACCACCACACACACACACACACACACACACACACACACACACACACACACACACACACACACACGTAACTACTACGTAC